GTTATCAATTGTGATGCTTGAGCGTCATCACGGTTATTATCTAATCAATTGATTTAGATGCTTGAGAACAGCTTAAACCGATTCCAATCCCTATTTTGCTTGACATAAGGCTTTGGAACCTATTGGTCGGCCTTGCTACCCATTTCAATAAACAACCTGATCTGCTTTGTTACAAACCCATTGTTTATGACTGTCTTTTTAAGATGAAAACCTTGTTAGACTTAGACCTTCTGGATAAGCAGGTTGGTGAGGGATGCTAACATAGTTTCTGGGTAACCTTTATTGTTTAATTGAAAAAAGGCACTGTTAACAATTCGCAGGTGAATAGGGACCATTTTATTATGGCCACCATCGGAATTTGATGCCGCCCATTAGCTTTAATGGCTTGTAGTGCTCCCTACCTTATTCACTGGCTAACGGTAGCCACTGCATAGCTTAAAATCAAAATAAACACAATAAATTTTATACAATTAATAATATAATTAATAGAGTATAATTTTATTAAATTATAAGACTAATTAAAAACATATAATTTAGACCATAAAAATGATAATTGTAAAATAAAACTTTCTATTTGCTTTCTAATAATTTGGCAGAAATATAAATTATTAAAAACAAATTATAAAATTAAATATATATTTTACGCTTTACTAAAACGCACCTATGATGCTTTACCGCCTACGTTACATTATTTTAAAAACTGGTTAATTGATTTGTATGCTGTCGCTCTAAGTAAAAATGATCTATGCCCTAACTCTTTCCCAATTCCTAACTCTAAATATTAATCCTAAACTAAACATAAAAAAAAATTAAAAGTTTGGAAATTTATAAAAAATATATAGGTGCTAAACTACTATAGGTGTGTTTATAATAATTAAAAATTTTGTTCTATCTTAAATTAAGTTTATTTTTTACTAAATGTATCCACAATATTTTACACCTACATTATATGTACATTATTTCAAAAGCTAACCAATTAATTGATACATAGTACTTTAAATAAAATGCTTTAAACTCTTAAAAATCTTTTTTATATTATAATTAATTGTTTATAATCAGAGGAATCAATGTCATTTTTACCAGCACTAATAGATTGACCGATAAGCTTATTCGTAAGTTGAAGGCATCACGTTTGCACCTTTAATGCATTACTGCGAATTTTAAACACTACCCTAAAATTTACAGCATATGATGCATGTGTTAATGTGAGTTTGTTATACTGTATAAAGTTATACATATCCTAATAAATTATTATTAGCATATATCCTTCCGTCAGAAAACATCAAGTTATTTAAATAAATATCGGTATATACCGTAAACAGATCGTTTAAAATAAGTACTGTACGTTAAGGTGGGAAGATGGTTTAGTTTTATTAGATTTGGATGGCGCAAAATGCTAAGCCTAATCAAAACGTGGTATATACACCATCCAAAGTATTACCCAACTATGTTCCCAGACAACACAAAAAATGACATATCGATATAACCATATTCTAGTGTTATCATACATAACACTTCGCCCTTGATAAGTTTGCCCATTAACATTTGACTTGCTTGATACTCACGCTCAGATCGACGTAAAATCAACCAATTACATAAATATATATTCAATATGTTTATAATTATATATTGTGAATATTCACAATATCGATATGATGTAAAAATAAATACTACAAATTGTGTAGATTATTCTAAATACATTAATGATCTTTTATTCTCAATAAATGAACACGAATGAGATATTTATTTATATATAATAGTAAATTTCCTGATTTTAATTAGATTGTATTGATCTCATCAATTATTAACAAATGATTTTTCTACATATATTTAAGCAAATACGAACTTAAATAGTATGCAGTATATCGTGTAAAGTTAAACAATAAAATTTTATGATTTACTATAAATCAATATGTCGATTAATAATCTTGAACCTAGCGACCAAATGTACCAGTTGGATGATCTCATGTGCAGAGTTTTATAAGCTATTAAAATTTTAACAGCTTAATCAGCTTGAAACACTATTACTGGTATAATAGATCGTGCAAACTTATTGTTTTTTGCAAAATTCGGAATATGAAGAATAGTAATTTGAATGTCATTAGATGATTCGTACTATATTCGTAACAATTATGAGTATAGTATATTTGGTTATAAACACCATCACTATCTGGCATACCCGATTGGATTTGCATTATAAACAAACGTGAAAAGAACTATATGAGTGCCGTCAAAGGAAAACCTGCCATCGGACTTTCAATTCCAGGTAACATAGTGGTGGCAGAAAAAATTCGCGATCAGATGATTTTAACCCAATCGATCGTGAATTTTTTCTGCTACCTAGATTTTCCAGACAACTAACTGTACACAAATATTTTCCTTTGATGGCACTCATATGTACACAAAAAAAAAAAAAGGATGGCCGTTAAAACATTAAAGTAAAAAATAAATTTATTTTCTTTCAAGTTTTATTTCTGCCTTTAAAGCAAATAAAAGTTAAGTAGTGTTATTATATTCTCACTTGCACGTACAATAAAAAATTTAAATCGGATTTTTCGAAACTTAAAAATATATTATTATATATCGTGATTAATATCGATATTTGCAATTTGAATATTGGTTTGAAATTCTGAGATTGACCGATTTTCTGTGCTTTTTTATAATAGGATTCGGATTAATTCTGATACTAAACTAAATCTGAATCATTTAAACCAGGAGCCAGACATTTTGTAGAATATGGCTTTCGTTTCCCTTAGCCCCAGCCAATAAATTTTAATGATTCATCCGCAGAGGAATCCTCACCAAATTTTTTAGAAGCAGACACAAAAGACGGAGAGAACGACGAAAAACTACAAAGATTTCTCTTTACACATGGATTATACTGGTCCGATCCTTTCTTTTAGTGTAGAATACATGAATACCTCAAACCAGAAATTGTTATTCCTTTTTTAAAAATTGTGCTACGGGAGAATTGGTAGCTAATTTAATAATTATATTATTTATAGAGTCTACATGTTCAAATATCGTAAGCAATCTTGTTCGTACGTACGTATGTACGTATCATAAATCTATATAATTTATTAGACTAAACGCGTATCAATATTGTACAACATAACTCCTTTTCGCATTCCTATTACAGTATCAAAGGGTGAACAAGAAAATAAATATGAATGATTGTATGTGACTTTAAAAGTATAATTTTCGCTGATTTTCGTATTTCATAACTAATATACTTCATATTGCTTATCAAACAAAATTTAACGAATAAACTCAATGGATAAGTGACGAATGTGCCCTTACTATTAACTCACGATAAACTTGTTATCATAATACAAATTTATATTGTATTTATATTTACCCGTCGAATTTAAAACCAATAAGGTATATTTTTCTCCGAATAATTTTGCTATTATAAATTTCTCCCAGCGAGCAATCAAATAAATTAATTTCAATCAAATTAAACTAGCTTCTTTAAGGTTTCCCAACAAATAATTTTCAGGCAAATGACATGTCTTAGATACACTTTAATTCGCAAAATTATAAATCGCATATTTATACCAATATTTTGCTTACTGGGAATTTGGTTTGCAGAAAGTTATATGTTTAAAAATGAGATTTCTATGGAGCAACTTATTTTAATTGGAACTGTCATTTTGATTTCATACTTTGCTTATTGGGTAGGTTTTTGATTTTGTAGCTTAAATAAATCTATTAAAAAAATTCTCTAAATTTTAAATATTTTTGATCAATAAAGGTGATAATTAGTACAAAGTGTCGTGGATCGCCTCATCAACGAACACGAAGAACAGAATTAATTACCGTTGATAACGAAATGTCTCAACGACAGCACGATAACGAAACAAATATTACAATAAATGATACGCATTCTGAACTTCAAACACCACCACCAACTTATACAAAAACGATACTCGATATGGGATTACCTCCTCCATACACTTCTGAATCAGACTCAATAAATCATAGAGCTGTGATTATAAACGGTTATTCAAGCTCAATAGGAGAAGGAACAAGTCAGCTAGCTACTTCATCAAGGATACAAACACCACCATTATCTTATCATCAAATATAATTCATTAAATAGTATAGCATTTTCATCAGTTAAAATACTTGTTTATTTGTATATAATTGGGCTTTATATTTGTAAAGCATCATTTACTTGAATTAAAGTTGTTAGTTTATAAATCTAATATAGTCAACATCCACCTTAGGATGGTAAAAAAAAAAAGTTATAACCAACTTTTTAAACGTTTTTTATTGTTTTAACACATTTTTTTTAAAACATCGAAGTCAGAAAAATTTTGCTAAAACTGAAAATATTGCTTCTGATTAATTAATTTAATTTTCAGCTGAGAAATGTTTTTTTAAAAAAGACGTTACTATATAATTTCGAACTTATCAAATATTACGCAAAAAAAATAAAAAAAATAAAAAATTTGTTCGCTTTGATTTTTATCAAAACTATCGATCGCTACTATTTTTAAATGCGAAATTTGCTTGTCGGCCAAATACAGCCTTTCATTCTATATTGGTTTTACATTTGTTGGTATTGCTGCTATGTAAACCTATTGAATAAGTTTTTACGAATGAAGTAACAGAATCCTGTTTTTTGAGTTTTTAATAAATATTATATATTTTTTGAAAGTTTTTATATTTTAATGAATAACCTTTTAAATTAGTCAATTAAATCAATCAGGTTCAGCAACTTTTGTAAAATTTAACCGGATTTCTTTTGCGACATTGTTTTGAAGAATTTTCTATTCGATTTTTTTTTTTTGAATTTTTGAATTTTGTAATTGCGTCATAATGTATTACAGTAAAACATTCTTTCACAGATTTTAATATCAAACATGATTTTTAAGATCATGTTTTAAACCATTTGCCACCCTACATTCACTATGTTCATTTCGACGGAACCATATATCCAGTGTTGGCATTGGACATATGTCCAATGACAACACTGCATATAACTAAGGTACAGTACATTTAAGTGTCTATCTAAGATTCCCTAAAATTAAAAAAAAACTTAAGTACGTAAAATCTTTCTAAATATTCTACACGTAATACAGTACTACTCTAGACGCAGACGCAATTCTTTGGAAAATATTTAACTTAGGTGCCGTAATCTTTCTATTAAAGTTTTAACTGGTTATCGTAATCGAATTTATAACCAGGTTAGAAGGATTAATCGGTTTTATTATAACCGGTTGTATTCGATTAATCGGTTTTATTATAACCGGTTGTATTCAATTAATCGGTTTTATTATAACCGGTTGTATTCATATTCAATTAATCGGTTTTATTATAACCGGTTGTACTCGATTAATCGGTTTTATTATAATTGGTTATATCAGATTACAGCTGTTCTCATAAATTTTGGGACATCTGGTAAAAAATTGACCAAATGATTTTAGGCCGATTCGATAAGTTTAATAAGTTTATGATTTCGGCAGTGATAAACTTCCGATTAGTATATAAAG